ATATACTACTAGGTATTTTATACAGTCTACAGTTATTTTAAATGGGGTATCTTTTACTGTCCCTTCTTGCCGAGTTTTGTTGGTGATATATAAAAAGGCTGATGATTTATGTAAGTTTATTTTATAACTTGCTATTTTGTTACAGTTATTGTTTCAACTAACTTTTTGGTTGAATGTCTAGGATTTTCCAAGTATATCACCATATTATCTGCAAAGAGAGATAGTTTTATTACCTCATTGCCCATTCTGATTCCTTCAATTTCTCCTCTTGTTATTACTAGCAATTCTAATACAATATTAAATAATATTGGTGATAATGGCCATCCTCGTTTCACTCCTGATCTTATTGGGAAGGCTTCTTGATGATCCCCATTTCAAAAAATGCTTGCTGATGGTTTTAGGTAGATGCATCTTATTATTTTAAGGAAAAATCAATTTATACCTATGCTTTTGAGTGTTTTTAATAGGAATGAATGAGTGTTGTATTTTGTCAAAATCTTTTTCTTCATCTACTGATATAATCATATGATTTTTGTAATTTTTGTGATTGATATAATCAATTATGTCAATAGTTTTCTTTAAATGTTTGGTAGAATTCAGTTGTAAATCCTTCCGGTCCTGATGCTTTTTCTTAGGAAGCTCATTCATGGCCTGTTCAATTTCTTTTTCTAAAATAGGTTTATTTAGATATTCTATTTTCTCTTCCGTTAATCTAGGCAGTTTATGTTTTTGTAAATGTTCTTCCATTTCACTTAAACTGTTAAATTTATTGACACATAATTGGGCAAAATAACTCCTAACAATTGCTTTGATTTCATCTTTGTTAGTGATATTCGCTCTTTTAGTCATTTGGTTTTCTCTCTTTTTTATTATATTAACCAGTAGTTTATCTATTTTATTATTTCTTCATGAAACCAACTTCTAGTTTTATTTATTAATTCAATGATTTTTTACATTCAATTTCATTAATCTCACCTTTAATTTTTAGGATTTCCAATTTGGTGTTTAATTGGGGATTTTTAATTTCTTCTTCTTTTTTTTAATTGTATGCCCACTTCATTGGTCTGTTCTTTCTCTGTTTGGTTGATATACATATTTAGAGATATAAATTTTCCTCTGATTACTTCTTTTGCTGCATCCCATAGGTTTTGATATGTTGTTTCATTATTATCATTCTCTTTAATAAAATTATTTTAATAAAATTATTTTAATAAAATTATTTATACTTGTTCTTTAACCCACTCATTCTTTAAGATTAAGTTATTTAGTCTCCAATTATTTTTTTTCTAATTTTTTAATGTTTTTATTTAAAGTTTTGAGCTCCAAATTCTATCCCTCCCTTTCTCTCTCCCCTCTCCTCTCCTTGACATGGTAAGTTATCAGATATAGGCTATACATGTGCAATTATGTAAAACATTTCCATATCAGTCATTTTGTACAAGAAGACTTGAATAAAAGGAAAAAAATGAAAGAAAGAAAATGAAAAATAGCATTCTTCAGTCTTGGACAAAGAGACTCATCTATACCCACAGTACCTCATTGAGAATAATCTAAACAAAAGGGACAATCCACTTCCACCCAGAGCTGTCTAACTAAAACACAATGAACCTCATTAGAATAGGCCCGCCTCTCATTTTAATATTCATTCTCTCATTACTCATTAACCAATCAAAGTTTATTTTCACCCTCAGGACCACCTACTCTTCCAAGGGCAAATAAGTGTCTAGCGGATTCCATGAAAGGTCTTTTTGTTTATGAGAGATGACCAAATGACCATCTTTTCATTCATTACCCACTAGCAATAATTAATAAAATTATTAATAAAATTATTCATTATTCAGAAACTACGTCTCTCTAATTTTTATGTATCACAAAGCCCAGCTCCTTTGCCCTTCAGAATATATTGTTCCATGGCATCTTTTAAGGTAGAAGCTGATAAATCTTGTGTTATCCTGACTGTAGCTCCACAGTATTTAAATTGATTTTTTTTTCTACTTGCTTGTAATATTTTCTCCTTGATATGGAGCTTTGAAGCTTAGCCATGATGTTCCTGTGAGTTTTCATCTTGAGATCTCTTTCTCCAGTGATTGGTAGGTTTTTTTCTATTTCTATTTTACCCTCTCATTCTAAAACTTCAGAGCAATTTTCTTTAATAATCTTTTGATGTAGTAGCAGCAGCAGTACTAGTAGCAGCAGCAGCAGCAGCAGCAG